TTCTTGAGGGCGAGGGCGCGGACCTGGGGGTTCGTGTCGGAGAGGGACTTTTGGATCGTGTTGATGGAGAGCAGGGCGAGGTCGGGCTCCTGCTCGGCGTGGTGGATGAGGTAGATGTAGACGAGCTTCTTGATCTCAATGTTGGGCGAGGCGACGTTCTTGACGACGGACGAGAAGAAGGGCAGCGTCTTCTGGGCGCGGTACATCATCTGGGACATTGTCAGTCAGAGATTGTCTCGTGGTACGGTTCTCGTGGAGCGGTTCGCGTGGAGCGGTTCGCGTGGTGCGGTTCGCGCGGTGCGGTCCGTGGTGGGCGTACCGAGATGACGCGGCGCAAGCCCTCGAGAATCTCGCGATCATTCCGGCTGTCGAGCAGTTTCTTGATCTGGTTCCGGTCGAGGGGTCGTGCAGAGGTGCGTGAGCTGCGCGCAGCCGAGGCGGCATCGAGGGTGAGCTCTCGGGCTGGGACGAAGAGTTAGCTGGAGCTCGCCAGGGTGCGGTGCGGTGCGGTGGGGGGCGAGGGACGGAGGGCGAGGGGGTGAAGGGCAGAGAAAGAACGCACCGCTCTCGAGCAGGTCGGAGATCCTCGCTATGGACTCCATCTTCTCGGCGGCGCTCGAGGGGGCCGGAGGCGTTGGGTGATGAGGGGTGAGGTTGGCCGAGGCGAGGGGAGAGCTTGGTGATGCGGCTGGCAGGAGTGACGTCCCGTGCCTGGCGGGTCATGGAGCATGGGCAGCCTTGCGAGTGTGGCAGCCTTGTGAGTGTGGCAGCCTTGCGAACGTGGGGGAGCTGCCAAGTGGGTCTTGCCTGGGGTTGAGGCCGTTGCGAACTGGAGCTGTCGAGACTACAGTGGACTACAGTGGACTCGCCCTGAAGGGCCCTGGGGGTTGGACAGCCCTGACGGGTGGTCGACAAGACTGGCCACCAAAGGAGAGCCCCCCCCCCCCAATGAATGCACCAGTAGCTCAGGCCCGAGTCACGCCTCGTAAGCCTAAGGTACCTTAAGGTACTCAAGGTACCCAAGGTACCTACCTACCTACCTGAGGTACAGTAGGTAAGGTGAGGTAAGGTAGGTGGTAGAGAGTCCTTTGGTGGGCCATTTCTTCGGTTGAGTGCTTGCGAGAGTATAGCTGTGTGTTTGGAACCTGATGGTTTTTTTTTTTTGGTTTCCTATTTTCTTCTTTTCCATTCCTTTTTTATTTTGTTGTCTTAAAAAAACATTGAAATGCCACGGTCAAAGCAGGACGATAGCCTTTTTGGCAAATTCCTGATTTCTCATGGTCTGCATGGCCATATCCAATGCGCAAGATGAGCACACTCCACCAAGCACCAAACCTGCCGATAGTTCCTGTGCAGCATAGTTAAGAAGACGAAGGAATCATTTTCGAAGAGAAAAAAAATGACCAAATTGAGAAAAATGGTCATTGCACATCTCACGACCCGAGCTGACTGCCTTTCTAGTGTTTGCTCTGTTGGCGCCAGCTACTACTTTCCCAGAAACAACCCACCACAGCTGCATCACCACAGTTGCATCACCACCACCACAGCTGCATCACCACCACCATAGCGGCATCACCACAACTGCATCACCACCAACCGAGCATGCTCACCCCCGTCGTCCAATCGCCAGCATCCCCCGCCGAGCTCCTCCACTACATCGTCTCCTACCAGACCTACCCCACGACCCTCCTCATCTGCTGCGCCCGCGCCGACTTCCTCGCCAGCCTCCAGCAAGACGTCCACGCCCAGCGGACAGCGACGCACGCCGTCGACGACACGGCGACGCCGCGCGCCCTCCAACCCACCTCCGCGTCGCCCCTGCTCCAGGCGCCCCTCTACCAGGTCGCCGTCGCCAGACACATCCGCATCGCCTTCCTCCCGACCGTCACCCACCTGCGCGCCTACCTCGCCGCCTTTGCGCCGCACGACGCCGCCAAGGTCGCAGCCCCGCCGCCGCCCGCCGACGGCCCGCCGACGCCCCTGCGAAGCCGCCCCCTGCTGCTCGTCTACGGCCTGCTCGCGCTGCACCGGGGAGACGAGCGAGTGGAGCGCCCAGGGCATAGGCAGTACCGGCGTCGGGCCTCGTCCAGAGCGCGCGCGCCGCCGCCTTTCGGGGCGGTCGTCGCCGAAGCCGCGGCGCGAGG